GAACACCGCATGGCAAATTCGTCAAGCGCGCATGCCGGATGCATATTGATGTCCCCGAACACATATCCAACATGATTGGTGTTTCCATCTGTTTTTTCAAACAAGATTGCGCGCGTTCCTGCAGATTCGGAAAAAGGATGTGTTGTTCAAGATCTTCACCAAACGAGAACAGGCGGACTTCCCGGGCGCGCGTGTCCAACTCATCCGAACGTATTTGTGCGCGTGTTGGGTGGGGTCACGATCGCTGCCAACAAACGCCATGCGGGCCACTCGCGCCCGTCGGCCGCGCGCGCGTGCCGAAATCCGCCCAAAACCCAGTATGGCCCGCAGATGGCCAAAGCGCACCCCAAGATTGGCCCAGAAGGACCCCAAAAGAGCCTAAAGGTTTCATTCCCCAGGAGCGCACCGAAAGGACCCGCCAAAGCCTGAGATCCGACACCCAGCCCAGTAAGGATTTTCATTCGTGCCCCGAGTCTGCCCCAAGAGAGCCCCAGCAGAGTTCTAAGAGCACCCCACTTGCGTTTCAAAAGGTTCGCAAGTACCCCCCCCAACCACCACCACCACCGCCACCTACCACCCTCAAATCGGAGTCTGCGCCTAACAAGGAGTTCCTTCCAGCGCTCGTCCATATCTCCGCGATTGTCGATGGGCGGTCGCCGCGCCAGGCTGCCAGCAACCTCTTCTCCACGGGCGAGGGGAGAATTGTTGCGGCGTGGGGGTACGGAGAAGGGATGGACCTCCTCAAAGGGAAAGAGGGGTTGTGTAAGAGTTGATCCGGTGATCTAACAGATGATCCGCTAAGTCCCTGAGCTGATCCGCTCAGCCGCCGAGAGTTTGCCCCCTTGCTCGCCGCCACCGCTGCCGGAGTCGGATTGGTCCTCGCAGCTGCCACAGCCCTCCCAGTCCCGTACGCAGGAGTCCCAGGTGGAGTGGGAGAAAGCGGAGGGCAAACGCATCGAGGAGGACAGCCTCCCGACAGTGCTGGCAGCGGACGGACGAAAGTTCGGCCAGGGGGAAGGGGAGAAAGAGCATGAGCAGCAGGAGCAGCAGAAAAAGACGGAGGGTGAGGACAAGATCGAGGAGAAGGATGGGGAGGGGGAGCAAGAGGAGGAGGATGAGGAGGAGGAAGGGGACGGAGGAGGAGGAGGAGGAGGAGGAGGATGGACGGAAGAGGAGGAGGAGGGACCGAAGTCTGCTGGGGTCTGGTACGAGGCATGGGGATCAGCACGGTCAGGCCCCAGGCCAAGGGCCGTTCTCTTTCTGTGCTTTCGCTCCTGCAAGGCGACGCGCTCTGGCGAGCGGCAGTGGCGCCGCTCATCCGCTGCGCTCACGAAGGTTGATCTCGACAAACCTCCTCCTCCTCCTCCTCCTCCTCCTCCTCCTCCTTCCTCCTCCTCCTCTCGGACAACCCAAACTTTTGATTGGTGCCTGACCTTGAGGAGCTTCGTAATGGTTGGTGCTCGGCTTTCCAGCGTCAGGGCCTCTCCTGGAGCAGACTTTCTCGACCCACTGGTGCGTGTCGCGAATGTCGCGTTGCCGTCTGGTGTGGCCGATGCCCGATGGTTGCCACGTTGCGAATTGATTTCGATTGGGATATGCCCTTGACGATCACCTTCTCCAAACGGTAAGAACGGGTTGAAAGGAAGTTGTTTTCGTGGGTTCGGACAGGAGCGCACGGGAGAGGTATTGTACGGGCTGCCGTCCTCGCTGGGGTGTTTCGGCGCTGTGAGCCACGAACCCGTGGGCCGCTGATGGGGACGCATGCGCACCTCTTCCGCCGACGGGGTGGCACCCTGAGTCCACCATGCGTGCCACCGACACACAGGCAAACCACCCGCACACACAGACAGACACACACACACACACACAAACCAGCCAACCAACCAACCAACCAACCAACCAACCAACCAACCAACCAACCAACCAACCAACAAACAAACAAACAAACACACACACACACACACTTTTCTTTCGAGGTCGACTGCCCCAGCAGAATGGCAACAGTGGAAACGCTGCATGCAAATTGAGGCCGTAATGCACGGGAGGAGGAGGAGGAGGAGGAGGAGGAGGAGGAGGAATAACCCCAGCGCGACGGGGGGAGAGGAAGCCGGGCCACTAAAAGCTACTGGCGGCGGCAGGGGACAGCGCCCGGGGGGTGGGGGAGGGGCGCCGGCACAGGCTGTATTGAACTGCGCTGATTACCAGCCTCGAACGTATCCCTATCCCTAAGATTGACACGCCAAAAGGCGATGACAATCTTAGGGATTCGCTCCCCAAAAATAAGGGAATCCCTAAGATTGGCATTGTGATGAGGAGGTGCCCAGCATAGGGATAGGGATATGTTCCAGGCTGGTAAGCTGAGCTGAGGCGGGGGGCAGCCGGGAAGCTGGCGGCGAACAGAAAGAAAGCGAAGCGGAGCCCACCCCAGACCGACACGCAACCCGGGAGAGGCGGGAACTTAAGGAGAGAAGAGGCCGAGCGGGCCAACGTCAGCAGCAGGCGTTGCGCCGCCGGCGCGAGGGGGCGGGCGCGGGGCGGCGCAGGGCGCAAACATGAGATAGGAGGCGGAGGCGGAGGGCGAGAAGCCCGGAGCCGGGCAGAGAGGGACGCCGGAGGAGGAGGCGGCGCCTAACCCAGCGGACCGAGGCCAGGCCCAGAGAGAAAGCGAACCGCCGAGACCTGCGGGCCTGCGGGGCGCAACCGCGTGGGCGACGGCCGGGGAGGAACCGCCCTCGGAAAGAGCGGGCCCAAGCGGCCGGGAAAGGGCGGCGGGGGGGCGGACGAGGCGAGCAGTCAGGACCTCGACCCGCGCCGACGGGGGGGGACCCCGACATCGACGACGGTGGGAAGCGCCAAAAGCGGCCCAGGAGCGCGTGGCGGCACCCAGGGCGGGGGGGGGCGCCCTTGCCGCCAAGCGGGGGGGGCGGCGAGCCCAGGCGGGCAGGACGTGGGAGAGGGGGCGCCGAGCGCGGAGAGCCAACCAGGAGGCCCCGATGTGTCACAATCCGGAGGTTCGTCAAACATCTGGGGTTGTGCCGGCATGACAGCGATGACGTGCCGGCGTCGGCGCATATTTGCGTGAATCCGTGAAATCCAATCAGAACCAATGATTTTTATACGTTTGGCGAGGTGAAATCGGTCTGCGCGCGCTGCGCGTGGCCGGCGCAGCGCGAGTCCAGGCACGCCGCGTCCAAATGGACGAGGGCGCCGATTGGCCCAAAGTGATCAAGGCCCGATGGCAGATTTGAATGGCGTGTCGAAGCTTGTTGCGACTGCTGGGTCTATCTGTTTGCACTTTCTGGGTTGCCGGTTCCCTTTGGTTGCTTGCCTGCTCATGTAAGTTAGTTCGTGCGCGCCGCCTTGTTGCGCGGACCTGTGCGCTCTTGCTTTTGGGCATGGGCGCGCGGGCCCGCGGGCATGCGTGCGTGGGTGCCCGTTTCGTCTAGATGTGTTATTCCACGCCGCGGGTGTTGCTGGTCAAAAACAAAACGAAAAGTGTGTGCGCACGTTCTGCCCGACCCCTCTCGTCCCACGTCGCCGCTGACAAAAAATAACGTGTGGGTGGTGAACGCGTGTTCGCACATCTGTACATATATATATATATGTACATACATACATATATATACATATATATACACAAGTTTACACATACATACACACGTACTATACGTACGCACGTACATACATACATATATAAGTATAAACTTATATTCTTATACTCGCCAGGCGGAGGCTGGGAGGGCAGTCGGCAGCGGCGTCAGGCCTCGATAAGTCGAGGGAGTAGGGTGCCGGCGTGCCTGGCTCGGTGGGCGTGCCTGGCTCGGTGGAGGGATCGCCCTCTGGGACGTGGAAGAATCCAGCGAGCGCACAGGTGGGATGCGCCTGGGGAGGGCTGGCGGCGCCGCTAGCGCTGGGTGCTGATCCTGACCACACGCACTTTTGTAAGTCGGCGGCGCAGAGGAGCTGCAGGCGCCGTCGGCAGATGGAGGTGCCAATTCGAACGCGTCGTGATGAAATAATCCAGCCGCGGCCATGCACATTGATGGCGGAAAAGAGAAGGCGCTGGAAAGCCAGGATGCAGCGGCTAACGAACCCGCCAGGTGGAAACTCAACGCAAGGAGTCGAATCGCAAACAGCAGTCTGGTGTTAATTCGAGCCCGCCACACAGACACACACACACACACGCACGCACGCACGCACGCACGCACGCACGCACGCACGCACACACACACACACACACACGCACGCACGCACGCACACACACAAGCACACCCGCGCGCACACCCACACACCCACACACACACACCCACACACACATACGCACACACACACACACGCACGCACGCACACACACACACACACACACACACACACACACACACACACACACACACACACACACACACACACACACACACACACGCACACGCACACGCACACACACACACACGCTGGATGCCATTGAGCTTTTCAGGACCGTCTGGAGTCCGAAAGGGCGAGCGCGGCGCTTGATTTTGCAGGCTGGTCGATCCTAATTTGAAACCCTTAGGCCAGATGTAAGACCAGCGGCAGCCCACTTTCCACAGTCACACGCGTGCGCTCGGCATGTTGGCCTTGACGGGGCGAGCCCGTCTACGATGTGAGCACCGACCAATTCGAGACGACAATTCTTTCGGCGTTTGCATGTCGCGCCTGAGGATAATTGTTGGGCCATTCGAAACGCCTGCTGTCAAAAAGGACGTGTTGCCGGCAGGGACGGGCACAGGGGGTGCACGTTACAGCTGCGCCAGAGCCTTCCCCCCCAGGGACGCTCAGACAGAGGCCCTTGGGACTCACTGACAGAACGCCGACAGAGACCCCAGAGCCTCACCAAATGGGCAGAGTTTCCTTCTACGCCCTCCCTGCTCCTCCGTGGGGCGGAGGAGGAGTCGGATAGGGAAAGAGAGGAGGAGGAGGTGGATGAGGAGAATGATGAGTGGCCATTCTCACCGGAGGAGGTGATGGGCGCGATGTTGCAGCAGTCCGTCCTCGAGGAGGAGCAGAAGCAGCTGCAGCAGGCCATGGAGGTATCCCCCCGCCTTCCCGCCAGTCTCTTCAGAGCCGTCAAGGAGAAGTCCGAACCGGATTGGTTCGCGAGTTGAGGCATGGTTTGCAAGATGTGTTCGTTCATCATTTGTGGCGGGTCCGGCGATTCGACCTCGCAGCTTTGGGTGTCCGATTCGTTTCAGCGCCTTTGCTCAGGTTTGCGTGTGAGAGTGTTCCATGAGCACGACTATTCGTCTGCGTACGAGTTCGGGGCCCAAGGCCATTTCATTGATATCGATTCTTGCACGAATGGACATCTACGTTTGAGTCGGGCCTGTCCCCCTACAGGGGGATTTCCGACGAAAAATAACAAAAACCTAAAATAGTCCAGAAATAGTATGGGGACTATTTTTGGAGTATTTTGTTGACAATTTTGGAGTATTTTGGAGTATTTTTAATTTTTCGTTGAGAATCCCCCTGTAGGGGGACAGGCCCGACTTAATCTTAGTATGTTTTTCGTTGGGCTCGTGATGCCGAGCGTACGCGCTCAGGCGTTCACCGAAGCACACACGGCCTGTTGCCGGACGAGCTAATCAATTGCAAGGGCGTCGGCTGCAGAGGGCAGGCGGTTGAAAAGGGTACACGTGTGACCGTTGTGGTGTACGTCGTCGGGCGTATTGCTTCGCACGCGTTGTGTTCCGCTGTGTTTCCGATGCAGCGGTCCGTTTCCGTGTGTTCGTTCACGTCATGCAGGTTCGTGTAGCATCGTTCGGGCCTTGACGGTCTCAGGTTGCAGTGCTTGGCTCCATGGCAGCACTCGTTTCCGCTGCCACTCGAAGTGGTCATTTACGGTAATGGTATCGGCAGATGGAAAAAGGCACAAACCGTCCACATCGTGTTCGACCCTTCCAAGTTTCATGCTGCGCGGGAAGCGGTTGGCGGGAGAAGGGAGGTGAGAAGGGGATACAGTGGAGGCCCATGCCAAGAAACATTTTGGTTGCCTCCAGGGTGCCCTGGGTTTTCTGGGGGGTTCGATGTGTCTGTGATGGAAGGCGTGACGCTCCCACACCAGAAACCAGTGGACGTACTGGGAGTCCCAGGGTTGGGCTTCTTGTGGGAGGTTTCTTGTGGACTGGCCTCCACTGTAATCCCCATCCCCCTGTTCTCCTCTCTCGTGCCCCCACGTCCCCCTCCGCGCCCCAGCTCGGCCGCCGAGGCGTGACGCGTGAGTGGAGTGCACCTTGTAACCAACATGTCACATGGGGGCGCTCAGCGTGGAGCGCTGGGGGCGGGCGGGGGGGGGGGGGGCGGAGGGCGAGAGAGGATGGATGGGGATCGTGCCGCTCCGCTCCGTGCCCGTGCCCGCCCCCCGTGCGCAGCAGTCGCGCTCCAGCGTGGTGCGGGGCGAGCTCGCCGCGCCCTGCGGCATCTTCGGAGCCGCGGAGGCCCTCTTCTGTCGGGGGTGGACAGACCTCCTACCATGACACGTCGATTAGCGAGCTGGCCGTTTTCGGTCCGCGAGAGGGCGTCGCGGCCGTCATTTTTGCGGGTCCAGGTCCTTCTGTTTCGGTTCCAGGCCGTTTTCGTTAAAGGGTAGTTCACTAAAGGGAGATTTGTCCACCGCCGATTCTGCTTACGTCGTCTCTCTGTTGCGTCGTTTTTCTTGTGTTTGGTCTCTCCGTCTCTCGCTCTCTCTCTCTCTCTCTAACACGGCGGCCGTTGAAAGTAGGTATTTCGGGATTCCCAGATCCAAACACACTTCAAGCGCATTCCTACTTCAATAATCGATATGCTTCCATTGTGTTTTGTTATTCTTTGCGAGGGCCTGAACCCAATCTACTTTATCCGCCTTCTTGCTTCATGTTTTCACCTACTTCTTCGGACCGGCGTGTACCCATTGACCCCGCAGTTGCGGACAAGAGAGAGGGGACCGGAGAGAATGTTGGAGAAGCCGATCGCAGGCGCCGGTTCTTCGTCAGCGCAATGTGGGTAGGGTGCAAGTGCGTCGCGGGTGTGTCGGGGGTGGGTCGCGGAGTGGATCGCGGGTGAGTTGCAGTTGGTTCGCGGGTGGGTCGCAGGGTGCGTCGTGGGTGGGTCGCGGGTTGAGCCGCGGGCAGGACGACGACAACAAGGCAGCAAAAAAGAATATTTGCCGCGGAACCCCGCTTCAGCCACCCACCCGGGGACGGTATAAGACCGTCCAGGCCTCCTCATTATGATGTGCATTTATCCGTGCATGTGTAATGCGTAATGATTGTACATACATACAGACAGACATACATACATGCATGCGAAAGAGCGCGTTCTGTGGTCGCTTGGAAGGGGGAGGGTGGAACCGGACCCCCCCCCTTGGATGGAGGGGGGGATGAAGGGGGGGGGGTTTGAACCCCTCCCCCCCCCCTACTTTTCCTCTCTCCCTTTCCTCGGGCCAGCGCCTGCGTCGGCGGCGGCTGGCGGCGGCGGCGGGGGCGACGACTTCCTCTTCTGGGCCGGCGCTAGCGCCTGCGGCGGCGGGCGGTGGTGGCGGGGAGCGTCGACGAGGACGACGGCGACGACGATGACGACGACGACGCTCCGCTACCGTGCCTTCGTTTTGAGTCAGAGTCCCAATGGATGCCTCTTGGGGTCTCGTCGGGCGCCTCTTGGGCGCCTCTTGGAACCTCTCTGAGGTTGTTGTGGTGGCACGTTTTGGTGGTGGTGGTGGCGGTGCTGGTGGTGGTGCGGTGGTTTCTGGTGGTGGTGGTGGTGGTTGTGGTGGGTTAAGGTGGTGGTGGTGGTGGTGGTGGCGGTGGTGTTGTGGTGGTTTGTCGTGGTGGTTGTGGTGGTGGTAGTGGTTGTGGTGGTGGTGGTGGGTTGTGGTGGTGGTGGCGGTGGTGGTGGTTGTGGTGGTTGTGGTGGTGGTTGGTTGTGGTGGTGGTGGGTGTTCTGGTGGGTGGTGCTGGCGGTTGTGGTGGTGGTCGTGGTGGTGGTGTTGTGGTGGTTTGTGGTGGTGGTGTTGTGGTTTGTTGTGGTGGTGGTAGCGGTGGTTGTGGTATGTGGTGGTGGTGGTGTGGTAGATTGTTGTGGTGGTAGTGGTTGTGGTGGTCGTTGGTGGTGGTTGTGGTGGTTTGGTGGTGGTGTGGTGGTGGTTTGTGCTGGTGGTGGTGGGTTGAGGTGGTGGTGGTGGTGTGGTGGTTTGTGGTGGTGGTGGTGGTTGTGGTGTGGTGGTGTGTGGTGGCGGCGGTGGCGGTTATTGTTGTGGCGGTGGTTTGTGGAGGTGGTGCTGGTGGAGGTGGTGGTGGTGGAGGTGGTGGTGGTGTGGTGGTTTGTGGTGGTGGTGGTGGTGTGGTGGGTTGTGGTGGTTCGTGGAGTTGGTGGTGGTGGTGGTGGCGTGGTGGTGTGGTAGATTCTGGTGGTGATGGTTGGTTGTTGTGGTGGTGGCTGTGGCTGGGGTTGTGGTTGTGGTTGTATGGCTTTTTTGTGGTTGTGGTGGTGGTGGTGGTGGTGGGTGGAGGTGGTGGTGGTATTGTTGGTGGCGGTGGTGGTGGTGGCGTGGTGGTTTGTGGTGCTGGTGGTGGTGATGCTGCTGGTAGCGGTGCTGGTGGTGGTTGGTGGGTGGTGGGTGGTGGTGGTGGTGGTAGTGGTGGTGGTTGTGGTTCTGGTGGTGTGGTGATGGTGCTGGAAATGTGTGGTGGTGTTGTTGGTGGTGGTGGTTGTGGTGGTGGTGTTGTGGTTTGTTGTGGTGGTGCTGGTGCTGGTGGCGATTTTGGTGGTGGCTGTGTAGTGGTTGGTGGTGATGGTGGTGGTTGTTGTGGTGGTGGTGGGTTGTGGTGGTTTTGGTGGTGGTGTTGTGGTTTGTTGTGGTGGTGCTGGTGGTGGTGGTGGTGTGACCTTCGGCTATTCCCGCCACTGAGTTTTGGCTTTGGGTCAGAGTTCCAGTGGATGCCCCTTGAGGTCTCGTCAGAAGGGTCTCGGGGCGTCTGAGGAGCATGTGTGAAGCCTCGTGGACCTTCCTAAGGGCCTCTCGGTGGCTTCTGGGGGGGCGAGGGTTCGATGTGGCGATTTGTGTGCTTCCTCTGCGGCCTCTGGGCCCTAATCGTCGCTGCGTCCCCGCCATCGGCGCTGCTGGCCGCCGCCAGCGCCGGCACCAGAGCCGGGGCGCGGGGAGCTGCCTCTGGTCATCGTCGCTGCGTCCCCGCTGTCGGCGGTGCTGGCGGTCGTCAGCGCCGGCGCCGGCGCCGGAGGGGGGGAGGGACGCATAGGAGGGGGGGAGGTTCGGCAGGGGGGGGGTTAGGAGGGAGGGGGGCCCCCCTGGTTCTGATCGACGGCGCCGAGTGTTGGGGGGGGCCCATCCCCCTGGTCGAAACGCGCCGCCAAATGTCCCCAACTTAAGGCAAGCGCCCGTCAAACGCGCGTTTTCTCTTTCAGACATACATACATGCATACATACGTACGTACGTACGTGCCTCCCTACGTACGTACGTACGTACTTACGTACATACGTACTTACGTACATACGTACATACGTACATACGTACATACGTACATACGTACATACGTACATACATACAAACATACAAACATACAAACATACATAGATACATGCATGCATTCATGCATGCATGCATGCATACATACATTCATATATACATACGTATACATTGTATAGATATATCTATCTATCTATCTATATATATATATATATAGAGAGAGAGAGATATCGGAGTAGGCCAGGGGAGGGCCCGGAACCGGCACCACTGGTTTGCATGGGCGTCTGGGGGGGTTTTGAGGGCCCCACGAGGGCCCAGAAGGGGCCTCGGACTCCCCCAGAGGCCCCCAAGCTGCCCCACGAGGCCCCCGAAACGCCCCAGGCTGCCTGGAAGATGGCTGAAGAGCGCACGGAGATGGCCTCCGGACGGGCCCCGAGCGCTCGAAGGCAGCCCAAGGTTGCTCTTAGACGGCCACAAGGGCCCTCAAGACTGTCCAAGAGGCCGCCGAGAAGGCCCCCTTTCCCTCCCCGTCGGCGTCTCTGACAAAGCAGGCCTCCAGCTCCTGTCCGACGTCCGAGATATCCTGCCTTTCGCATTGCTCCTCCAGGAACGCGAGCAATTTGTCCACGCCGTGTTCATGTGACAACCACGCCACCTTGCATCTCTTGACCGCTGTCTCAGCTCGTCCAACGAATCGGATCCTAAGCTTCGGTCCGCACAGGTACCTCTCTTGCTTCTTAGTCGGCTCGCAGTACTGGAGGGCTCTGCGGTGGTACGATCTCCACGTCTTCGGGTCTCCGTCCCGCGAAGGCACCTTCTGAGTGCCATTGTCCGCGCTCGCGGGCGCCATGGGAGCCGTGCGGCAAAAGTAGTGATTAGCCACGCGGCTCCGCTACCACACAAGCATGCGGAATCCAGTTTTGTTTGGAATGTAGCTAAGTTATCTCTCCAGTCCTGGAGCGCTCCAAACGCCTCAGCCGCGAGGCTGAAGAGGGCACCTTCCTTCAAGTTCAGGGATGCGAGAATATGTATGGCAAACGTCGTGACACTTCCAACAACCTGAGAATTCGAACCGCTGCTAGATGCGATCAGGCGCGTCAGAACACACAACTACTTGCAGCCCGGGCCCCCCCTCAACAACCCCCACCCTGGGACCCCCCCCCCGCCCCCCCAACACCCCAGACGGGGAAGGGGTCCAAGGGAAGGGGCTTCCCTTCGTCTCAACTACGACGTTGCTCAATTTCGTTTTGGCTGGCGCGCTTGAGGAGGAGGGCCCAGGGAAAGGAAGGGGAGCGGCGACGGCGACGGCGACGGCGACGAGTCAAACGAAACAGCGTCTCGCACACGCCGACCGGGTCGGCGGATGTTTTTCTCGGAGGTGGAATGGGGCAGGGATGACAGCCAAGCATTTCACGCGTTTTCTCAGCCCAGACATGGATTCTCTTTATTTCTTTCTTTCTCTCTCTGCCTCCTCGTGCACCCATGTCTCAGGAGCGAAAGAACAACGTACACGTACATGAGTCCACGCTGGTTTCGAAAGTGCGTATTGCGCAAACGTTCGTATCACGAGATTGGTCTCGCGGACTGGAGGGGCGTATTCATGTACACTGTCCTCTCCTCGCCAGTGCCCATCCTCCATCTTGGCCATATATCCTGAGAGATCCTTCTTCCCCCATCGCTCACCAATCGTTTACATAACATATATTATCTCTCTCTCTTTATCTGCTATCTTCACTCCTCCGCCGCACTCTCTCTCTTTCTCTTTCTCTCTCTTTCTCTCTAGCTTTTACTGGTACAGACCATCCCGCCACTGTCAGATCCTCTCTCTGAACGTCTCCGCCTGCTTCGATCATCTTGCCTCCATCCTCTTGGCGTCTCGCTCTTATTTCCCCTCCTTCCTTTTTACCATCCTCTCCTTGGTTGATGCTCCCTCCTACTCGTTGTCATTCTCGACATCTCCCCTGCCACCGTCTTCCTTCAGATCCGCGACATCCTTTCGCGTCAGTGCCCTCCGCCCGCTAGCCAGGCGGGCTCCGCTGTCAAGGCGGTGTCCGGCGCCTCGTCGTCCTCAGCGTCGGAGCAAGACAGGTGGTCATCCCAGCGCGGCGCGGCGGCGCGGGTGATGATTCCAAATCCCTTATTAATCGTCCCCCGGGTCCAGTTTTTTAAGGCGCCTTTTTTGTAACTGGGGGTGTCATGTTTATTCGGGCGTTTTCTTTGCATTGGAGCCTAGGGGGTCTGGTTTATTAATTCGCCCCGTTGAAGAGGGGGATCCGGAATATTAGTTCGCATTTGAAGGGGGATCTTGTTTTTTAGGGGGGGGTCGACTAATAAGGGATTTGGACTACATTCTCTTCTCCCCCCCCCGCAACCTTCCCCATCCACCTCCTCCCCCTGCTGATCCATTGTCGTCCTTCTCCGCCCCATCCGCTTCCCCCCCCGTCCCGCTCCCGCTGCTTCTCCTCCTCCTCCTGACGCGAGGGCCGTTCCGCAGGGCTCTGTTGACTCCTCGTTCTGCCGTTCTGGTGATTGCGTGCGGGCGGGTGCACGCAAGCTAGTCCGCGTGCAAACAACAAGACGGCAGGCAAGCGAGCGCATGGGCAGGCGATCGCACACGCACGTGCGCCCGTGTCGAACCCACCTTGGTTACGCAGTTCTTGTTGGTTGACCTCCAGTGCGGCCAAGTGTTGACCCCACGGGGCTTCAGTGCGCACGTGCTAGTACAGTTGTTCAAACTCTTCGTCCGCCGCCTCTGTATCGCGGCCGCCGCCTGCTGCCGTTGCGCTAGACTGCGCTTCCGCTGCTATGTTGTACAAGCGATCGAGTGGGCACCGCGTGCCCACGCTTGTGTTGGGAAAACGGAGCGCGCGTCGGGTCGTCGCCGTGAAGTCGTCTCCCTTCCCGTGCACATATCTCATACAACACAGCTTAAAAGGCACCATTGCCATGTCGTTACGTTTTTTCCAGAGTACTGAGGAGACCGATGTTACATGATCAATCGAGCCCCACATTTGCAGGGGACTGCGTTCCCGTGCAAAAAAAACGAATACGGCGTATGCAATGCCGAGGCCTTAGCAGTGTTAGACGTAGCTCGGCGAATGTATGCGATGTATTTGTCACATAAAGCGTAGCAGACAACTTGGCGCGAAAGGTATACTACATGTAGCATATGCGCAAGACGCGTAATCATATGGTGTGTACGACGCGAACCGCGAATAGCACGCGCATGCGCCATGCGGGCGAATTTCATTTCGGCCGCCAGACGCGCACAAGACGTGCCAGTGTCATTGGACGTCTCTGGTGGTCTCAAGAATCTACGTTCACCTCGACGCGGGCACGCAAACAGTCCTTCTTACCCAGCAAATGGACAGCAAAGAATGGGAGGTGACGGAGCCTGGCACGCATGTCAAGTGGTCCCCGTACGTAGTGTTCGGGGGGGCCCTCCCCATCCAGAGGCAGTCTCTTCCACGGTGCAGCTTCGTCCGGTTCGACAAAACATCCAGAGCCTGTTCCGTTGCTACGGGAAGAGGTACGAGGGGGGGTTGTTTCTGTGCCGAGCTATCCTCGATGATTCGCCCCCAGTCGTTCGCTTTATCCTGGTTCCGATCTCAGTTGCTGACAGTTCTGGCCGCTGTCGAATGCGCGTTGGTTCCGTTGTGTGATTAAAAGGCCATGCCAGCCATCGCCGATCCACCCACCTCTCATGACTGTGTTCTTCTCTGTCCCCTTCACGTCCTTCGTCTTCTCCCCCTTTTCTACCCCTGTCTCCCCCTCCGCCCAGGGACGCTCGCGAGTTCCAGTGCCCATGGGCGGGCAGTGCCAACTCGAGCGGGCTCTTGCTGCCATGACCATTGCGGGAGGGAGAAACGGCGGATAGACAGCATGAACATCGCCCCGTTGCCCTATCATCTCTGTTCTCTCCTGATATTCCGCATCCAGCTGCCTGCAGCAACCAACCAAGATTAACAATGCAGTGGGAGGGAATCGCACTGCCGACAACCGTTCCCGACCCGTGCAATTGCTGGAAAATGGCGAGGCACATGTGCTCACCGATGCGGCGCGGGTAAGGTTGTCATAACGACTAAGTCATGCCCGCGCACCGGTCGTAAAGTTTAAACGAGATTGTCCTGATGAACGCAGAGGTCTCAGACGAAACGGCTGTCCCGCCATACGGACACGCTTCGTGATACGATAACGCGGACTTGCTTCTAAGGGGGCGATGGAGGGGGTGGAGGAAGAGAAGGATGTGGAATGCCAACGGTGACGACGGCGTGGAGATGAGGCGGCGCGTCTCAAAGCTTGGAGCGGCGTTTTCGAAGGTGCCTCCGAGCAGGCCTAATGTCGTTTAGTATGATTTGGGCATGTGAAATCCCCTGCCAAGCTAAACAAAAACAATTGGCTTTTGCAACTGATGGCATGCGGGGAAGGTTCCGCTTTGGGCCTGTATCCAGGCTCCTGCGGAGAATCTGCCATCGTGCCATCGAAGCACTCTGTATAGCGATTCTCCGAGCACCGCCCAGAAGGCCGATACATGTGACACCTGCCGTTTCTATTTCTTGGGGGGGCTTATTTGGGCCGTCTTGGAGTTGTGTTGGGCTCATGTGGGGCAGTCTTAGGGCCCTGTTGGGCTGTCTTGGGAGTATCTTCGCCGTCTGGGTGCTCTCTTTGGGCACTCTTGGGGCCGACTTAGTACATTATGTATTAGGCGATCTAGGGCCCTCCTTAGGCCGTATTGGACCCCTCCAGTGGCTTTCCTGGATCAGTTTGGGGCCTCTATGAACCGTCTTGGACACTTTAGTGGGCTCGTTGGGGCCCTGGTGGATAGCAAGTTGACCGCTCTCCGACCGACGGGCTTGAACAGCGAAAAGCTTGTGACCGCTCTCCGACCGACGAGCTTGGACAGCGAAAAGCATGGTGAGGAGCTGGCTGGGACAAGGCGTCGGGTCGTCCTGCTTCACGCGGTTGCGCTTGAGGAAGCCCCGCCACTTGGCGGCCTGCACGCGCGAAACCCAGCTGGACGAACAGTGTTGCGACGCATGCCTTGTCCTGGTGTGGGAGCTCGGGGATAGCGACGCTGGCGAGCTGGCTGACGTGCTCCGTGGGGCCGATTGGGGGGCCGGAGAACTTAGCCTGCGAGCACGGTCGCCGCGTGCGAGTTGCGGGCTCGTCGCGCCCGCAATTCGCAGAGCCGTCAGCCTGTGGACTTTGCCGCCGTTCCTGCCATGCACACCGCGGCCGCCTTGCAGGTCGACGAACCGCGGTGGCGAAGGAGGTACGGGCTTTCGGTTTTCGGCCGCCGGGCTCATGCATCTGAAGGACGGCCTTGGCACGGCGGCCCACAGGGACGAAGCCACCAGACAGCTGCGTTGCCTGGTCGCCCTCTTTACTTGCGGCCACGCGTCCGTCGCCGTTTCGGAGTGTTTCGCCAGTGCCTCATTGTGTTGGCCCTTCCCAAGGAAGGTGGTGCCAACTAAGCGTTTCTTGGGGGCTATTGATCGATGATCCTCAGGACGTGTGTTAGCCCTGTGTGTGTTTGTGTGTGTGCGTGGGTGTGTGTGTGTGTGAATGCGTGTGTGTGTGTGTGTGTGTGTGTGTGTGTGTGTGTGTGTTACCCCCTCCATCCCAACCAGTAGATCATTACACCGCCCGCGTCGTATCGAAGGGCCTCGATGGACAAGCCCACGTCGGGGCTAACTCGCGTTCTGAGGATCCTCGAATTGGGAGTGTACTGAAGCACTGCTGGGCCATCTGCGCGGCAGTGGTCGCCGTCCTTGGCCGCGCTGGGAGCCTCGGGGTGCTTCGGTGAGCCCCAGGGAGGCGCTGGGCCGCCCGGAGGCCTCGGGGGAGAGAGCTGGTGCACGCAGCGGAGTGTGGAGCGAGGGCGGGGCTTGCAGTGGAGACCCATGCCAAGAGACACCCTGCTTCCCTCCAGAGTGCCCTGGGCTTCTTGGGTATCGATGGTTTTGCGATGGGGCATGACGTTCCCACACCAAACATCAATACACATCCTGGGCTCTCAGGGTTGGGTTTCTTGTGGAAGGTTTCTTTTGGAAGGGCCCTCCTTACACTGAAGACACATGACATAGCTCCTGCCAGACAGCACCCGGAATCCTACCACGTCTCAGCGTGCCATGAGGCACGGAGAATGGATGAAGGCGCGACAGCGGAGGAGCGGAGGGAGTTTGGGCGGCGGAGTGGTCGCGACGTGAAGGTGGCGGGCGGAGCGGGGCGGAGAAGAGGACCCCAGGGCGCAGCAGGAAAGATGGAGGCAGGGACGCTGTGAGACAGGAACGGAAGGGAAAGGGAGTGAGTACAGGGAAGGCATTGCAGCGAAGGATGGCGGGAGGGGAGGTACCCAGAGAGCGTCTACGCGGTGATGTCGATGGGCTTCCCGCTCGAGAAGTGCATTCAGGAACCCAACCGTGCCTGTCGCGCGCTGGCCGTAGCAGCCGTCGACGTCGCAGGCCCACTTTCCGCAAGGAGGCCAGACTCGGATTATAGTTCTTTATCCGATGTGCATGCCTTCCCAGCCTTGGCCGCCCTACTTTTTCTTCTATTCGCTAATCAGCGCGAGCAGCGATTGTGGCTCGAAGGGCCTCGGCGGGACCCACCGATCGTTGGGAAAACCGAGGAGGAGGAACGAGGAGAAGGAGGAGAAGGAGGAGGAGGAGGAGAACGAAGAGGAGACTGCGGCAGATAGTGAAAAGGCAGAGAGGTTGGAGATAGAGTTAGAGAGAGAAGTTGAGAGAGGAAGAGAGGAAGAGATGATGATGATGATGATGATGATGATGATGATGATGATGATGATGATGATGATGATGATGATGATGATGATGATGATGATGATGATGATGATGATGATGATGATGCTGCTGCTGATGATGATGATGATGATGCTGATGCTGATGATGATGATGATGATGATGATGATGATGATGGTGGTGATGATGATGATGATGATGATGATGAGGAGGAGGAGGAGGAGGAGATGATGATGCTGATGATGATGATGATGATGATGATGATGATGATGATGATGATGATGATGATGATGATGATGATGATGATGATGCTGCTGCTGCTGCTGCTGCTGATGGGAGGAGGAGGAGGAGGAGGAGAGGAGGAGGAGGAGGAGGGGGGGGCACAAGAGCTTGTCTTCCACCCTCCCTCCCCCCCAACGAAGGCCACGGAAGGAGGGGATCTGGCGCCAGTCTTCATCAACAGACCTGCCATCAGCTACAGCTACAAGAGGATGAGCAGCAGCGGGAAGAGGGGGAGGAGGAGGTGGATGAAGACCAGCGCCGCGCGATCGCAGGCATACCACTTGGTCGGGGACAACCCGGAGGGCATCCTGGCCTTCTGTTGCCAGGCGGCCACGGCAGCCACTGAACCACAGACCCCGCCTTCCGGTCTTGGCCTTGCTTGAACTCTTCCCGATGCTCTTCCGAGTCCCTCTATTTCCAGAGCCTCTTACTACCACCACCTCTTGACCATTGTTACCCGCTCCACCTCTATTACATAGTATGACCGCTCCTGCTACTGGCGCTACTTTCCCTCATCTTTAGGCTCTGCAGGGACTCGTCCCCAGCTCTGCCCTGCTCTCTTCGCCCCGCCTTGCTCTATCTCATTCTGGGGTGGGCCACAAGTGACCCTGATTGCTGAGGAAAACCACCCGGACCGTACCGGACAATTGGCGTCTACTAAACGGCCTTGGGCGTTTACTGGACAGCCCTGCCCTGCTCGATGCCTTCAGTCGGGGCGTTTAGTGAACGGCTTTCCGCGTCGGGGCGGTTCCTGTGGGGGGGATCCTTGCCCTCTACGGAGTGCAGGTCCGAGAGGGGCGCGTGCTCGACGCCTCCGCCCCCCAGGCGCTGGGCCTCTGAGACCCCCGGCGCGCGCCGCGCGCGGCGCCGGCGAGCCACGGGCTGCGCTTGCGGCCCAAGGGCCCGCTGGCTGCCCGCGGGCGTTGCGGTTCCCCCCCGCTCCCTCGCCTTGTGGCCCCTCCCTGCCACGCCACGTCTCGAGCCCCTCCCCGATGCACCCCCCCCTTGCGCCCCCTCCTGCCCCCCCGCCTCATTGGAACCAGGAGGAGGGGGAGCAGGAGCAGGAGGAGGAGAAGGAGGAGGAGGAGGGGCAGGAGGAGGAGGAGGAGGAGGAGGGGGAACAGAAAACGGCGGTAGAAGAGGAGCGAAGAAAAGTGCGGAAGAGGAGGTGGAGGATCAGAAGGAGGAGGAGGAGGCGGAGGAGGACGGGAGGAAGGCTGAGGGGGGAGAGGACGAGGCGCCCAGCCTCCACTCCCCGCTGCGGCAGCCTTCCGCGCCGGTGCCCCTCGGGCAGCGCGCGGCCTGGTCCAGCGCAGAAACAGCGCAGCGCGTGACGCCAGCCTGCACCATCGCGTCTGGTGGCGCGACGAAAGGCCCCGACGCTGGCCGGGAAGACGGGAGACGCGCAGGACGGGCCGGGGAGGAGGACGGGGCAAGGCAGGACGAGGAGGAGGAGGGGAGGACGAGGAGGAGGGCGGGGAGGAGGAGGACGGCGGAAGACACGGAGGACGGGGAAAGGGAGGACGAGGACGAGGTTGACGAGCAGGAGGCGGAGGACGGGCAGGAGGAGCAGCAGGAGCTCATCACCCACCAAACCACCCCAAGCCAACCCGAAGGCCTCAATCAACCCGGGGGGTTCGTGGAGCACTGAGAAAACACACATGAAACCCGTACCCCCCCCCAACCCGAAGTTCGGGTCTTCGGGTTGGGTTGGGGTGGTTTGGTAGGTAGTCAGGAGCGGGGGGACCGACGACCACGACGCAGACGACTGAGGCAGGGGCCCTCGAGGGCGCGAAGTTCTTCGCGCTTTGCGCTTCGCGGTTCGGCTCCGACTCCTCATCCTCCTCTTCTCCCTTGGGAGGCGGCGCGAGAGCGCGAAGTTATTCGCACTTCGCGCTTCGCGCAGCGCGAAGCGCGAAGTTGGGAGCCCTTGGCAGACGACTGAGGCAGGGGCCCTGCCCCGATGCGATCGACTTGGGCGTCCAGCCCGTGGGGACGGCGCCCAGGGCGGGATGGCGGGATGGGCCTGCGGGTGGACGGCGCGAGGGCCGGCCGGCGGCGTCGTCGGGCCCAGGAAAAGGCCTCTTCCCCCTCCTCCTCCCCCTCCTCCTCCTCCTCCTCCTCCTCCTCCTCCTATCCCTCCTCCTCCTCCTCCTCCTCCCCCTCCTCCTCCTCCTCCTCCCCCTCCTCCTCCTCCTCCTCCTCCTCCTCCACCTCGGGGGAGGGCGGTCGGCGGGCCTGGTGGGCGCCCCGCACCCAGGCCTGATCTGTGTCTGGCCCGTCGGATCTGCGCGCGCGGGGGGGGCAGGGAAGGAGGGAGGAACGAGCAAAGGGAGCCTTCGGGTTCTGGCGAGCCGTCCTCTGAGCATGGCGCGCGTGGAGGAGGGGGGGGAGGAAGGGAGGAGGGTGGAAGGGGACCCGTGTTTGTGTACAGTCGGGGCCCTGAAGAAGGAACCCTTTTGGTTGGGGAGGGGCTCCGCGTTCCTTAAGTGTTTCACAGCTTGCCTCAGGTGTTCCTTATGTTTTCGATCGGAAGTCGAAGTTTATTTAACTTATGGAGAACAGGGGCCTCGTTCCTTATTTAGGGTTCCTTAGGTCAACGCCCCGACTGTATCTCCTTCGGGGCTCTCCGCGTTTCCGCCGGCCGGGGGGGGGGGGGCACCGCGAGGAATTTGCTGTTTGTTGCGCACGAAACGCTAAGGTTTCTCGCCCCCCCAGGATTGCGTGGGCTCTCTCTCTCTCTCATCTATAGGTTTACATACATACATACATACATACATACATACATACATAACATACATACAACCATACATACATACATACATACATACATACATACATACATATATGTACCTACCTACTTACCAACCTACCTACCTACATGCATACATACGTACGCACACACATACATACATGCATGCATACATGCATGCATGTATGCATGCATACCTTCGTACATACATGCACGCATGCATACATACATACATAACTGCACACATACATACACATATACATACAGTAATGCATGTATACATGCATAAATGCATACACACATCCACATATACATACATACACAACTACATACACCCATACATACACACACACATACATTCATACGTGCATACACACATAAACGCATACACACATACAAACATACACACATGCACACACACATATCTATACATACATACATACATACATACATACATACATACATACATACATACTCCCCTACTGGGGGCTCAAGCTGGGTCCAGCTGGGGGTCGGCCTCAGGTGGCCCAGAGGCGCGGGCATCCCGGAGGCCCGCTCCTGGAGCCAGAAGATCATGGATTGCCGGGAGGCGTTCACGCCAGGCGAGCCCGCCCGGGGCACCTCCGCGGCCGCCGAGGAGGGCGTCGGCGCCGCTCTGGACGCTGCTGCGGCGTCGCTGAGCCGCGCTGGCCGAGGCACTGGCAGCCTCGCCGGCAGCGGCGCCGACGTCGGCACCGACGCCGGCGAGGCCTCCCACGGCCGCGTGGACGACCAGGTCGGCAGCGGCATCGAGGAGGTCACCACACAGAGGCGCCGAAGATCGCGCCGACGGCGGCACCGACGAGGCCTTCAGCGGCCGCGCCGACGGCCGCGCCAATCACAGCATCAGTGATCTCCGACCGCCGCGCCGTGGTCCGCGCTGCCAGCGAGGTCTTCCACCGCCGCCACTGACGGTCGCGCCGGCAGCGGCAGCGGCGAGGTCTCCGACGGCTGTGCCGACGACCGGGTCAGCATCGGCATCGAGGAAATTTCCTACGGCCGCGCCGACGGTCGCGCTGACGACGGTGTCGACGAGGTCCACCACCGCTGTGCTGACGTCCGTGCCGACGGCGGCACAGACGGAGTCCCCGACCGCCGCCTCGGCGGTCACGCTGGCAGCGGCACTGACGAGGTCCTTGACCGCTGCGCTGACGGCAGCGCCGATGGCAGCACCGACGGGGCCCCCGACTGCCGCGTGGGAAGAACCACCGACGGCCGCACCCTCAGCGTCTCCGACGGCCACGGTGCCAGACGCACGGACAGCGGCACCTTCAATCTCCGCGCCTGTGGCACCGAAGGCGCTACCTACGGCGCTTTCAACTCAGCCTCCATCCGCTTTGCTGGCGCATGTCTCGACGTCGGCACCGGCAGCTGCCCAGTCGACGGCATCGGCAGCCGCGCCAACAGCAGCACCCGCGCCAGGCACGCACAGGTCTGCGCAGGTAGCGGCGCCAACGAAGGCTTCGGCGAAGGGCACCGCGGGCAGCCCATTGCAGCCAATGGCAGCCATCGCAGGCAGCGTCGGGGCGAGCACGAAGTTGTCGACGACCAACCCCATGGCGGTGCAAGGGGATCCTTAGCGACGACCCAGCGTTCATCCTCACGAAGGCTTGCCACCCCGCGCGCGGAGCCCCCTGGCGCAGGGCGACCCTGCTGCAGGCTCATCGGCGTCGACGAGTTCATCGTTTGCCGCTTTGCTGGCCGCATCACTTGCCGCGCCCGTGGAGGCTCCATCAGCACGAATGTCGCCGATTGCCGCCTGAACAACGGCGATGATGAGGTCTCCACCCGACGTGCTGGCGGCCGCGCCCGCAGCGGCACTCACAGGGCCTGCGGCTGCTGCGCCAGTAGCCTCGAAGGCAACGGCACCGACACGATCCCCAGCTGCTCCGCCGACAGCTGCGCTGACAGCGAAGCCAACATGGTCTCCGTCTGTTGCTCGTGCGTGCGCAAGCGGACCTATACGGGAGTATTGTTTGTATACCCTGCGCTTTTTGTGGCGCTCGCTGTTACAATATGCGGGCGCAGTGAAGTCGGAACGAGGCTTGAACGGTCACATATGGGCTTGTCGAGTGGCGTCATACGTGACATTGCCATTGCCGTCAGCTGGCTCCACGAGCTCGGCGACCCCTTGTCCCAGGACATGCCCACGGTGAAGCGGCTTGAGTCACGTATGTTGCGCCGATGGCCGCGTCGATCGAAGCGTCAACGAGCTCCCCAGCTGCTGCTGCTGCTGCTGCTGCAACGGCGGCCGCGCTGAAGGCGGCATCGACAAGGTCCGACGTCTGCGCCGACAGCGGCAGCGACGCGGTCTCTGGCGGCAACATCGACGGCCGCGTCGACTGCAGCACCAACGGCGTCTTCGACCGCTCCGCCAGCGGCCGCGCCGCCAGCACGGCCGACGGGGCCTCCGACTGCCGTGCCGACGGCAGTGCCGACGGGCGTCATCGACGAGCTGTCCGGCTGCTGTGCCAGTCCCTGCTGGTGGGCTCAGTCCGAGGGCCCGCCTCCGCGGGAAGGAGGTCACCCGGGTGATGACCAGCCGCGCCACCCAGAGCGGTGCGAACCGACGCCTGCGCGAGGCGCCGGGTGAGCGGCTGAGGAGGAGCCACTCGCCAAAATTGGGGCCTAGCGAGCCGAGGAGAGCCGCTGGCCATCACCGAGGCCTGCCGCGCTGAGGAGCCCGCCGCCGGCCCCCGCGGGCTTGGCGCACGGGGCCGCCGCCGGCATGCCGCCGGGCGCGCGGGGGGGCGTGTTGGTGTTCAGCTGCAGGCGTGGAGGGGGGCCCCAGGCGATCGGCACCCGTTCCGCAGGCCGCGCAGGCGCTGGGACAGCAGGCGCCGCGGCGCCTTCCAGGAGCCCGAGCAGCAGCCGTGTTGCAGCTCGAGCTGTCTACATCGTGGGGGACGCGGTGGCTCGTCGGCGCAGCCATCCTGTTCGCGCGGCGATGGCCGTGCCGGGGATCGGCTTCTTCCAGTGGCCAGTGGCCTGAGTTCGGCGCCGCTAGAGTGAATGAGTGCGGCCGAGGCAGTCTGCGGCACCATGGGCCAAGACTGCTGCGACGTCCGCGCTGTTCGGCGGCGACGATAGGGGCGAATGGCCCAGGGGCGGGCATTGCAAGTGTTCGCCCGGGGGCCTTTTCGAAGACATAGATCAACGGCGCACCTGAATACATGCATTGCTCTCCCCTGGGCTACTCGCCCCTGTCGTCGCCTCTGAGTTTTGCAGGATGATGTTGCGGCGCAGCCTCATTCGAGGCAGGGGTCACGGCAGCACGGGGCTGGCCAACGTTAGGCGCCGCCTGGAGGTTCCACAGCGTCTCGCCAGAGGGGGCCGCGAAGGGACCGCGGAGAGGCCGCATGGCGGAAGCGGGTGGACGCGCGGGGTGGCGCATCCTGCGCTAACACCAGATTCATCTGATACTGCTGTCGCCTCCTGCTCCTCGAGCCCCCCCCCTCGGCATGGGCTCGAGGGCTTTCGCTGGTGCCACTACCGCCCCGCTGGTGCCATGACTGCTGGAATAGACCGCCGCGCATCCTGCCG